GATAGATAGATAGATAGATAGATAGATAGATAGATAGATAGATAGATGTGTGTGTATTGTATGCTCTACAAACATTAATATTTTAATAAACAGTGATTGTATACTCCATAAACAGAGCCAGATCATTCACAATGGCATCACCACTGAAGAGCCTGGTTAATGATGACAGCAGATACCAGACAGCCTTCAAACTTTTTTTGGAGCGCTCCTCTGAACACCAGTGTATGCAGGACTTCATCCACAAGAAGCTGCCAGACATACTGGCCAGGTAATCTAACTCATGTAGGTTGAAGCGTGTAACCACGTGGCCACAATTCTGACATAGAAGGGTTATGAAATGTAATGGTTTAAGGTGGCATTTTCGCATTTAAAATGTCAAACAAAACAAAAAAAAACATTTTTTGAAGTGCTTTCAGTATTTACTACGATGTCTGATATACAGTTCTCTAGTTTAATCGTTCTCTCTGGGTAGTCCGGCTGCATCCCACAGTGCAATAACATGCTTTTTAGCTTAATCGGTGACTAAATTGCCCCTCGCAATGAAATTCAGTGGTTTCTCCATTTATATGTGGTCATGTGATGGACTGATGACCAGGGGTGTTCCCTGCCTACTGCCAAATTACAGCTAAGATAGACTCCAGACCACCCCCACACCCACTGCTCCATACCAATCATCCATTATTTATAGCCTACACAGGACAATCTGCATGGGTTCAAAAGAGCCAGATAAATGCCACAAGAAAAATCTTTTAGTAGTCCGACAATCTGCCAGCTACAGTTGAGCTTACTATGCATATAACAGACATTCCATTTTTGCCCTGAGGTACATGGGAAAAAAACAAAAGTTTACCAGCATTAGTGTTAAATGTAATTGATAAAATTCACATGCGAAATACAGACTGATTGTATTCCTTATGACAACTCTCATTCTCCCACCATTGTCTGGCATTAACTTAACAAGCACATTCTATAAAAATCAATAGCTGGACATCAGACATCATAGACTGCGTATTGCTTTGAATTATAAACATCCTTAAAAGCAATCTTGACATGAGACATTTAGTTAAGGGAAAGCAAATCTTTAAGTTGGTTGTCCGCTACAATTATTTCAGAAACTCTGATATAGGCTTATTTGCTAAAAGGCTCTAAAATGAAGGTGGAATTGTAAGTTCACCACAGCCTTGAAAATCCAGTAAGGTTGAACTCTAGTAAACTTGTGTTGTGACATTGCACAATCGTTGCTGATTAACAGGCGACGTTCTTGAACTTTAAGTAGGTGATCAAACTAAAGATAGTTTTCATCTGATGAAATTAAGTAAAGTAAGAGTGGATTCAGAAACATGCTCTGCAACATTTGCTCTTTATACTTAACAAAATCTGTGTTGGAATAATTTAAGGTTAATCAGGTTTGAAAGTAAGCTTCAGCTTCATTAACAGTTAACAGCAGCAATTGGCAACTAACTGGCATATTGAAGACCTAAAAATATTATGGTGTATTCTCTGGTTCATGTAAATCTTTTTCAGCAAAAATGTTACAATGCTCAGAACAAAAAACATGATCCAGTTTTTAAAAAATACAAGTATTGTATTTAGAAAAACATTGAGCATTTTAGAAATACAAGACCCAAGACTTCTAGAGACTACAAAGATTTTGTGTGAGGAGTTATCTGGGGCACACAGACCATTAAGTTATATAACCTATGCAAATGAATTATCATGCAATATATCTCACTTTTTATTGCTGAAAAATGATCAGCATTGTCTTTTGTCGTTTAGGTCTGACCCCAGTCTTAAAACAGAATATGCAAATGCTGCTGCTATCACCTTACCTGCTAAATCTATTACATTTACAACATTAATGTACAGAATAGGCAGCCAAAAATTATCTGCAAGATCCCTGGATTATTTTTCTCTTGGTATAAGCTTTAGGAGATGACTGACATGCTGCAGAGAGCCAGACCCGGCTCCCTTCTCTCTTTAGACAGCCTGCGAAGCAGATCAGAGAGAGAAATCTGGAGATGTGATTCACGAGTTAATTAAAAGGTGTAATCGGGTTATTAAAATCAGACGCTGAGTGACAGAGCGCACCATAGCGACAATCAAAGCCTTGATATTTGTGGATGTTTCATTCGCTAGCTCTCGGAACATCTCACATTTCCAAGCGTCAGGCAGAATTGACAGTTACAAGCCCAGAAATTGTGACCCACATTTGGCAGGTTGGGGGCTGTGAATGTGAAGGCTTTACTGCTCACAAGACCTCTACTCTCTCCCCCTCAGCATTGGAGATGGAAAGCCCCATCTGAATGTCATTGGAGTTGGAAGCGGAGCTGGTAAGAAAAAAACACACCGCGGGACACTATCACTGCTGACCTTTGCTAATGTCCACGGTGGCTCAGTAAATAGCCGACTGACCTCTGCAACAGACAGCTAAGGTGAGGAGGCGTTGGTGAATAAGCCCCTTTGTTAGTGCCGCTATTACGAGGCTGTCATTTATGGCCGCTGTTGCAAAAAAAAAAAAAAAAAAAACCTGCATTATCACCTCTGAGTCTTTATCAGGGTTGGTCACTATCTGTCCATTAGATCAAGCTTAATATTAACCTTTGTCTGAGAACTTCACCATTATATACTTTTCTTTTGCACATTGGATCATAATTGAGCAGTGTTATTATTTTTTTCATTTTTTTTTTTTTACAGAACTAGCTTCTACACACCCCCAGAGTGGTATTACCTTTTACTTGTGTCAAAGCCAATCCTTTCAATTTATCTGAGCTGTCATGTCTGTGTCATAATGGCTTCTCTAATGGACGGTAAAATGCATTAGAATGACTACAAACTCCCCTGCAATGTATTATTCTATCTCATCAAAAGGGTTCAGCACATGTTCACATCAGCTCCTTTGCTTAGATGTAATCCTCTGTACAATAGCTACATGGCAATTTGTCACTTTAAGAGCTACGACTAGATTTTCTGTCCGGTGCAAAATGACGCTGAAAGTGGTAATGCTTTACTCTTGTTTTCTATTTGCTTCATCTTTTTTTTTCTCCCTAAAAGCACAATTTTCCACAAAGTCAAAGTGTTTGTGGGGGTTTTTTTGTGTTTTTATTTCTTTTTTTTTTGCTCTAACTCACTGAAACACTGCGATGAAACCCAGCTGACATTTTCTTACACACAGTTTGGGCCACCATGGGCAAATTGGGGCGAAAATTTTGTTTTGCAAGATAGAGTTTTTGTTGTTTGAATAAAAAAAAAAAAACTGCCTCGTTGCCCCTCAGGTGAGATTGACCTAGAGATGCTCTCTGAGCTCCGTCAGAAGCACCCAGGGGTGACGGTGGATAATGAAGTGGTGGAGCCGAGTAGCCAGCAGCTGCATAACTACAAAGGTACAGTCTTTACTGCCACACGTTGCTCTCACATTGCACAACATGCATCTTTACTCTCCCAAAAAAAATATTTCAATATTTAATCCAACCACAACGGAAAAGGTATATTCTTCGTTGGATGTTTTTTTAATGCTGTAACAGTTTTAAAGCAGCTAATGGGCTTCCCTTTAATGAATAAGTAATATGGTGGCTTGTGTATTAGTCGACACTGGTCCCGATATATGAGAAAGAATTCACTCTTCTGAATGATTTGAGTAGAACACTGACTTATTGTCTACTTCACAACCAGTTTTGTATGCAAAGTCATCTGTTAGCACTGCTTACGCTTTCTAATGACAGTAGAAATCAAAACTGTGAACCTGGGCTTGTTCATGTTGGACTCTCACCGTTTCGTTCGTGGGATTGTCTCCGGGTTTGAATTTCCAGGCGTTTTGTCTAATGATGACGTCTTTGTCGGAACAGGTTTTTGTTAACAGTGTGTTGGAGGACTTGTCGACATCTCTTGTGGTTTCTACACTTGCCCGTGCTGTGAATTAACAGCTCACTGACAGATCACAAGTTTTGCTGGATCACTGAAAAAAAAAATCTATTTCGTTATAAATGATTCATTAGAATTATGACGCATGTACTCATAAATTCAGGTCATTTTGTGATTTAAGAATAAATATGAGATTGGAGAGTGTCTATTTCATTACTGATAGCGTCTTGCATTCATCCACGCCTAGACGGAGCAGAGTCAATCTTTTAAGTAAAAGAAACTCTTCAGCAAAAGAAAGTTTGGCCTTTGGGCAAAACTGCAAATCAGGCTCTTTTTTTAAGCACATTTCCAGTGAAGTGCTCTCAGAAAATCTACCAGACTTATGCTCGGTGAGGGGAAACTATGCAAATCCTTCATGCTGGTAGAAACAAAAGGGGTTAACATGTTTTACCATTTTGAAACATTGAAACATTTTAACTTAGAAATGAGGATTTTTTTTCTTTTTAGATTTTAGACAATGTGACAAGCATTGAGGAAGTTTGCTCCACTTACTGTTATTTTGATTCAAAACTAAATGTGTTCCCACAGCTACTCAATAACTTTATGAGGAAAATTGTATGGATTAAAAGACGTTGCTGCACTGAACTCGGATCTGTGGATTGTCAGTTTCTTTCTGAAATATGACTTTAACCTTATTTCTCCCTCATCTTAAGTTTTAGTGTCACAGAAAAAAGCAGACTTGGATTACATCAAATTTACCTGGAACAAGATGACGGCCTCTGAGTTTGAGGAGCAATGGAAGTTGAAACAGACGACAAAGAAGGCAGACTTCATTCACATGATACAGGTTGGTGCTGCAGATGCGTTCCTCCGTCTCAGACTGTATTTTTGACACATCTAGGTCACATTCATTAGGAGGCACTCTGCAACAATTAATCCCATTAGAGCATCTGTCTTGCTTGGCATTATAATTAGACGCTCTGTGAATGCAGTTACCAGCTCATTATGTCTGGTGAAATCGACAGATGTTGTACTATGTGAAGGATCCTGGCGCCACCATCAACTTCTTCCACAGTCTCCTTAATAAGAACGGGAAGCTTCTCATCATTCTGGTGTCTGGTAAGTGGACTAATATTCCTGTCGCCGATGCGTGTATTTTTGGATTAAAATCCACTTTAACAGGGATTGCACTGACCATTATACAAAGTCAGGAGATTAAAGAGTGAAATCTACCTTACATCATCTACCAGTCAAAATCTATTTTGAGGTGAACTTGCAAATGTTGTATGGTGATTATTGCCTGTGAACCTTGTCCGTATTTGTTAGCTTCATTAGAATAATCCAGTTTTTTTGTGGCAACTCTTCCAGAGGAGAGCGGTTGGGGGAAGCTGTGGCGGACCTACAGGAGCCAGCTCTGTAACACTGAAATAAGTCAGTGTGTGACCACTGGTGACATCAAAAGCCTCCTGGACTCGAGGGGAGTGAGCTATCAGAGCTATGAACTGCCCTCTCAGATGGACATCACCGAGTGTTTCACTGAAGGAGATGAGAAGGGAGAGCTGCTGCTTGATTTTCTCACCGAGGTGCTGGACTTCAGTAAAACGGCTCCACCAGAGTTGAAAGCGGGTGTGTTGGAGTTGCTCCGGCACCCAGATTGTAGTGTGGAGTCCAAGGGCAAAGTTATTTTTAACAACAACCTGGGAGTAATCGTCATTGATCAGCTGCCTTAAAAACAGTCTCTTATCACTGCTGCCAAATTATTAGTAGAGTTATAGGAGTAGATCAATTAAGATAAGGTAGATTAAATATTACATTTTCAAAAAAGGAGAGTAACTGTAGCTTAACTTCCTTACAGTTTTTACTCTGTTCGTATGAACCTGATGTCCGTTGATTATTACTGATTATTTTCTATTAATTTATTGTTTGATATTGTGAATATTTTTGCAACATGAACAGGTCAACTGGATGCTTTATTCAATTGTTATTATCAACTTGGGGTCTTGATAATAACCAGAGTTTGGTTTCAGATTTGACCATATTATGTGACCACTTAAGCTTCAGATCTAATAAATATTGACAATTGGAGAATACACTTTCCATGAGAATTGAGCTCTTTTTCTTTTGGGCGAGGAATATTTTTATTAGATATTGTAGATATTAGATATATACTAAGTACATAGATTTTGTGGTAACGATAATGGATGGATGGAAGTTTCAAGCTGCTTTGGAGATCTATTTTTATAATGTATTTATTTATTTGACTGAGTAATCTCAGCATTCTCACAGTTTTGGGAGTCTAATGTGACAAAATGCAACACTGTAACCTAAAGAAAATAGATAAATACTTTGTATTGAATAATCTGGCCCTGTATTTTTTAGATGAATTCCAGGTAGTGGACAACTTTGCAAGTTTGTCTGCAGCCAGATTTGTGAGTTGTTGGCTCCATCTTGAGGGCAACATGAGTTAGTGAGGTGAACATAACAAGTCTGTGTTTAGTTACAATAAAAACACAAATGATTTTGCTTTTTCCTCACAATGATAATCTCCAAAAGTACTCAAAGATCAAATTATTTCAAATAAGCTATTTATTTTATTGTAATGATGTTTTCTGTTTGTTGTTTATTTGCATCTTAATCTTGGTTTGGCCAAAAAAACAATTATATAAAAACATCTAACAAAAATATAGCAAAAATGAACAATGATTGCTGAAAAAGTGCTCCAGCTGACCTGCAGGAACTGGATCTCCCTTCACTAGATAATAAACACTGGTGTTATGTAACTTTGTGTAACACCAGTGTTGCCACAACTGTGACAGATTCAAGCATCTGGCTGTGTGGAAACAAGTCCAAAAGACTACTGGAGCACCAAATTATGGGGTTTGTGGCTACATGTTACATTCATTTACAGAATAAACTGCCCAGATAAAATAACTGGAAATCAAATAACTCCCCTTAAAGATGCAGAGCAAGTCAACTTTCAGGGAATATCTTCTTTAAGAAAGGGTAAGTACTTTGCTTATTAATCCATCTGAGGCATACTTCACATTATAGACATTTTGATAAATTGATATTAAAGAAAAAGATACATCAGTACGTCATCACGAATCTATTGTAATTCTTCATTTATTTGAATAGTTATTTCAGTGTTTTTGAATATAGGAACTGAATCTAAATGGAATTACTTCCTAGATGCTCCATATAAGTTACTTTTTATCAGTGTTTGTTTTTATTTCTTACTTTTCATGTATTTCAAACATTTCTAGATTTAATATAGGCTATACATTTTAAGAAGTTTAATGAGTAAATTAGGCCTGTTATGTGTTGAGGTTTATAACTTTGGACCTGCTTCTCCAGAATGTATCCTAAAAAGTATTTTCTAAAGAGTTGTTGCATTAATACTGCCTGACACTTGTCGATCCTTTGTTTTGCTGTATTTTTATCACGTTTCACCCATATAAATGAAGATGGAAATGAAGTTATCGCTGTATGGTCAGACATGCGTGGAAGGAAAGACAAGGGGCAGAAGAAGCGGATGATTTACGGTTCTTCAGACAGGGATTGAACTTGTTGGAGGCGAGCACAAACCAAATCTAACAAGCCAGCAATTCAGCAATAGCCGAACACCGTGTGACGTGTAAAAAAAACGGACCTGGCAACTTATGCAGATGGCCTCTGGAACGAGTCCGGCTGTGGGAGGAGACCACGAAGGGGCGAGCAACTTAGGGCTCAAATACGTTGGACAGCCCCAGATTCTGTCTTTTTCCAGCCGAAACAAGCAGCGAAAGTAACTTCTAACACGTAAGTGACACTTAATTACATACTTGTGGTCAACTCGTGATTTGTCACGGTCGGGAATGATTTGTATTTTCTGTCATTTCTGATAACGAACTATTGCATTGCAGGAATTAAACATGGCCACAGATCATTCCTGTTATGAGGGCACCTATGCCAACTGTTTCCAGTTCTACCTGGAAAAATCAGGAGAGCACGCTGTAATTAGCCAGTGTGTTAAAAACACCCTGCCTGGAGAGTTTCAGAGGTACAAGTTTTGTTTTGTTTTTCCCTCCTGCAACTTCCCGACTGACCGGTACTAGGAATGATTGATAATTTTTGGCCAAGGTATTCTGTCATGGAAATTTACTCTACCTCTCCACCTGGTCCCAGCAGGTTATGTTGTTGGTTACCTCTAGGTTTCCACCCCCAAACCACTCCCTTTGTAAATACTGCCCCCTTCACCATCAATCACTTCCAAAACAATGCCATCATGCCAGGGGTTGCCAGGTGCTGCCAGGGGTTGCCAGGTGCGTTTGGCACTGAAACTGCAAAGTCAATGCAGCCCATTCAAGAGTTACTAGCCTTACTATCTATATCCACAGGTGACATGTGTTGCATTTAGTCATGATTAATTCACAGTTGTGAATTCTCTCACCCCTCAAGTTAATATATTCCACAGGTTGATAATCGACGCAGATTTGATGCACATATTAAGACAAAGAATGACACAAAAATAGAGAGGAGGATAGAAAAGGCCATACTCATTTACACGATCTGCAATTGTCTTTGTTGGCAGTCGATGTGTTGGATTTCCCCTTAACAGTTTGTTTGCATTTCTTGGTAACCCACCATTGTAATAGTCATAGATCATGCCATCGTAGAGAACGGCGCTTTATTTGAGGCCGCACATACTCCAGTTAAGTTAGCGAAGGTTTAACAAATCAACCAGCTTTGTAGCACTGAGTAACTCCACTTTTGGATGCCTAGATTTGTCATATGTGGTTTAAACGGATAACCCTGGGTTACATCTGAGTAAGTTAACGCTGCTTCGTAACCCCTAACCCCGCTCCCTGCTGCCCTGTGCCCCACACTGACTGACTTTTCTATATGATTTTTACCTCTGTTGCAGAATTGGAGCGGGTAAAAGCAGCCTGGATGTTCTCGGGGTTGGAAGTGGTGGAGGTATGCAATGCAATACAATTTTTATAACATGTAAACAAAAGACTGTTAAACTATCATTCCTAATCATCATGAGGGTGAAGAGAACTGATAATAAACAACAAGTAGCACAGATTAGATTATTGAAGTTTTTCCTCACATTTGCATCCTTACTAGGCCCCTCCGTAAATCAATATTGATCATAGTTCAATGGTTACTGACAAGGACACTTTCAAAGTCTGTTCCTGATAACGGTGTTCAGAGTTTCCATTTTGGGCATTTTATTTTGGCATAATCAAATGTATTCAAATATCTTGAAAAAATGGCGTTAAACCATGATTTTATGGCAACGTTTTTAACTCTATGGTCCACTCCAGGTGAAATGGATGTTCAGATGCTCTCCTTGCTGCAGTCGACTTTCCCCGCTGTGCCCATTACTGCTGACATTGTGGAGGGCAGCTCTAATCTTATAGACAAGTTCAAAGGTACCGATTATCCTTTTTTTTTAACCATATATATATATATCCTGAAGTTTCCATTGAGATGTAAATGTTTGTTGAAGCTCCCACGTTACTGATACTGAGAAGGGTTGACCTAGCTAGATGACTAACAGATTTGCAAAAGTTTAACATTCAAATTCATGGTTTGCAAAGGCCAGGCAGGGTATGCAAAAGAAAAAAGTGACTATTTTCTGATGATGTCCCCGAGGTTGTACAATAATTAAGGGAAACGAAAAAGTAAAGGTAGTTGATGTGTGGAAAGAGACATTACTCGCAGTAAGATTAAATGAAAACTTTGACTGAATGCACGTTATCTTCAGGGCGACTGCAAATTTGCAGGAGGGAAGCTCTGTCACTCCTCTTATCCAAATAGGTATTTTTTAATAAGTCAGATTCTCTTTTCTGTACAGCTTTGGTTGCAAAGACTGCCGACCTTCAGAAGATCCCAGTTTCTTGGCATATCATGGCCAGTGAGGAATATGTAAAGCAAGTGAAAGCAAAGGGAGACATGAAGATGTTTGACTTCATACACATGATTCAGGTACTCTTGTTGCCAGATAGGTTTTCTTGTTTGCTTTGGCACATCAAACTGTCACTTTTGTAAATGTTTCCCACCTGCCCATGGGAAATACTGCTTTTTAGCTCAGGTATAGGGAGTATAATTACATGTTGCGACAGTTAACACAATTGTTTCTCTTCTGTCCTCTAGATTTGAAATAATCTTTTAAATTCTCTTTGCTGCCTCTCCTCAACAGATGATTTACTATGTGGACAATCTTTCTGAAACTATCAAGTTTTACCACAGCCTTTTGAAGAAGAATGGCACACTTATGATCATCGTTGAATCAGGTTTGTTCAAGCACAATTCTTAAGCTTTATAAAGCTATAAAGCTACCCCTGACTGAAGCAAAATTTTATTCAAGTGCTCATCTACATTGCCATTGTTTGGATTAAGTCTATAGATATCCTGGTATGCTAATTAAGTATATCAGTTACATGCGACTTGTTGAAAAGGTTGTGATTTTCTGTGTCGTTACCTACAGCCAATAGTGGCTGGGACATCCTGTGGAAGACTTTCAGAAAGGATCTGTGTGTCGACGGCATAAAAGAGTACCGTTCATCAGGGGAGGTTATTGCTTGCCTGAAGAGCCAGGGTCTCAAGTACGAGGAGCATTCAGTTCCCAACAGCTATGACATCACCGAGTGCTTCGACCCAAGCAGTGTAAACGGAGAACGTCTGCTGAGTTTCATGACGGGGAAAGACCACTTCTACGAATCCTTCACCCCAGAGACCAGAGCAGGCATGTTGGAGCTCCTCAGAAGTAAATGCAGCGCTGAGAAAGAGGGAAAGGTGTTCTTCAACAGTAATTTGAGCTGCATTCTTGTTCACGCTTGAGTAAGTTTAGCTTATACTGTACTCTTTATACAACATATTTCCTGTAACCAACAGATGAATACTGTTTTAATAAATCATTTTTGGTGACTTTCAAGATGACGTTCACAGATTAAAAACCATGTCTGGATAACCAACTGGTTGGTCTTTTGGAAAACTTTATTCAAATATGACCTTGTATGATTCCCCCCCCCCACAGTCAAGATTATTATAAAGTGAATGAGCGTAATAGCACCTGAATCCATAGGAGGCATTTGATGTGATGAGCCCACATTCATTTACCAGCCAAAACTGCTGAGAGTCTTTCATTGTTGTAAGTTTATAGCCTGCAAAGTAATTATGTTGTTTCCATATTGTTGCTCCCACTGCATCATTTTTGGCCACCGCAGGCAAGAGAGTTGAGGGCTCCAGCAGCCCATTGTGCACTGTCCAATAAGACTTATGTAGCGGTGTATTGAGCTGCCAGAGAACAGCAGGCTTCCAATGAGAGTAAGAGGAAGATCAGGACAAAAATGGGGCGCCAGAAAATTAAACTTGCATCTAACATCTGTCAATTCCATATGGTAATAGCAATGGTATAGCCTTTCTTGTCGCTTTAAAACACAGTGTTTTATCCCTAAAGAGTTTGTCGGAAAAATACTTCAGTCAAACATGTATTCCATCTGCAGCTTCTCTATTATGTACTTTAGGTTGTCATAATTTGTAGTTCATATCCTGCATTCTAAAGTGTCTTCAAAACGGTTGCAGTGAGAAATCATCCAGTGGTGGAGCCACCCAAAATTTGGCAGCAATGACCATCTGGCTCTGCCTGATTCTCCAATTGATTTTGAATTCTTATTAAACGGTGTTGTTTTCTTTGTTCACATTAGACCAGAACAAATGAAAATAACAAAACAGCTGTATGAGCTGAGGGGAAAATATATAGAGAGATATTTTGACAGTTAAAATCAGTTGTCTTCTTTATTTACCTAATCCCTATTTAATTTACAGCTCCCTGTTTACTTCACATTTCCTCGTCTGACCAAGAGCTCTTTTTAGGGGTCCAGATTCATAGCTAATTTAGCTTAGGGTTTTTTAAAAGACAAATGTGTCGGCTAAGCAGAATAAGCCCAACTGAACATTGCTTTGAGAAACATATTTCAAGACTACTGAATAAATTATTAATAAAGGATAATAGAAAGTGTGTTGTAACACTGTGCATTCTGTAGAGCTACACAGCACAAATATCCTCTGTAGAATCCTTGTATCCCACAGCTGTTAGGCTGCTTCTGAAATCACGTCTTTGTTCATTTCTGCTTCACATAACAGGAAGATTAGCAGTTTAAAACCATGAATAAATGATAAATAATGGCCTTGGCATTGATGACCAAGTCATCAATTGTCTGTTGTTAACACAGGAAATCCTTCTTTTACCATCTGATACCTCAGAATACCCCATTTCTCAGCCGATTGCCGCTGGGATAGGCTCCAGCACCTTCACGTCCCTGAAATGTATAAGGGTAGGTATGGAAAATGAATGGATGGATTGATGGGTGCCTCAGAGTTTCTGCTCTTACTGTGTGACAAGGATGTTTTAGAATGGTGAAAAGCTGCACCGGTAGTGTATTATGATACCTTACCCTTTCTGGGTGATATTATTGTGCCCCATCTGTCGCGTGGTGGTGACAGATGCAAATGGTGCCCCATGCTTCACTCATCTCCTCTATTTATATCATTCTCATTGCTCCAAAATCAAGTGGTACAGCTTTGCTCCTGTAGTAAGACAAGACAACTATTTGCTGCTCATTTAGCCTGAACCATCATACCCCAAAGAAAGTCTATTGAGATATCAACAGCACATCCTGGTTTCCACTGGATACAACCTGGTAGGCAGGGACTCTCCATCTGTCGCTTTATACAAAATATGCATCATCCTGCGCCAGGCACAGTGTACTTGACCAGTCTGTGTGAAATACATGCTGTATTCATCCATCTGCTTTACACTAATACAAGATATGTGTGTTTTACTTCAAAGATCCTAAACTCTTCAAGACAAAGTGTTTCAACTGTCTTTTTTTAACTTGTTTACATTCCAGTTGAGCAGTTGTTCCCACATACCCAAGTGGTTGACCAGTCGCTGATACACCCAAAGGCTGCTGAAGTATCTATGTCATTTTAATAAACTCTGGAAGTCGGTACAGACATGATATTAGGCCTTTGTGAGTGGATCAAGTGAGAAGTATGCCTGTTGTTCTGAATTGAACCTAATGAAATACAAATACAAGTTCATTGACTGCGATCCCCTTTCACTTTAAAGCCTCTCCATCTAAAGCTACACATCTCACAAACTTTTCTGGAGCCACTAACTCCATATCTCCTCTGACGGCCTTCTTCTAATTGTTCAGGAGCTTTTGTCAGTTCGGTGATGACCCAGAACTGGTTGGGGTGTATGTCACCTAGCAACAACAGATCTTATGAAATCATAGGCAATGCTAGCATTGGTGCAAGAATACCTCCAATCTTTATTGTTGATTGGTTGGCAATCTCTTAGCGAAGTGCAATCCTATGCATACAGCAATAAAGTAAAACAATAATATCTAATTTATATTCCCACATGTCTCATGAGAATCAAGGGAAGAGATGATTTAAACTCTACTCTTCTCATGCGTTACTAGGGAAACTTCTCCCTGCAATTAATGCACTCTAGAATTCAGTTCATCTCAGGACCACATGTTATGGGTGTGTCTGAGTCTGGGGGGTGAGAGCAGTTGTCCGCCATTGGGCCGGTCAGTGGTTGGTAGCTACACTTCAAGGTGTCTTTTGGCAGCACATTAAAACCCCAGTTTCCTGCAATGGTCATCCGGTGTAAAGACAAAGCCAATCCTACTGTGCGAGCCAAGACTGACCCACTGTGGCTACCTCTGACAGGAAAAGCCGAAAGAGCAACAACAGAATCATATCAAGTTATACAATATACGCAAGGCACCTGATTTAAATTTTGGCCTGGACCTGTCTAGATCGGGATTACTTCTTTCCTGTATGCTTAGTTTTCTCTCTGGGTCCTCTGTGGTCATCCCCAACATCAAATAAGAAGCATTGTTGTTGTTTTTTGTTCTTAAGGTGACATGTAGAAATATTTCTGAGGTTGACTTAGTTAGTCAAAGTGCTGAAACCAGACATTTTGCTGGTTTGGACACTAACTGTAAAGGGTATTGGAATATGAAGGAGTAAATGTGTTTTCTGTGCTTTAAATGTAACCGCTGCAATCTTAACTTTCGACATATTCTCACATCCATTGCTGCCTCGTAATCTTGTAAACCTTCCTCGGGGGGATGATGCATGTGAGGATGTAAATTTTCAAATCAGTCCAGACTTTTTGTAGAGATTACCCAGAAAGCTCCCAAGTGCACTGCAAAGTGCAAATAATGTCTGAATGAGCCCATGGGAGGCTAGATCTGTCAACTGTCCATGCACCTACCAGTGGTGTTTTGTTGCTTTTTACTAAAAATGTATCCCCTTGTATTAATTCCTCCCGCTTATTTAATTACTAATTCTTTCACTTATGGGCTGACATCAAAAGTATAGGCAATCATTATATAAACTAGGTATAATATGTTATTTACAAATAGAAACTAAATATGCCGGATGCATATTTAGTTTTCAGTCTTTAGCAAATGCTTGAAATTGACTTCATTCTCTTTAATGTACCAGTTAAGTGATGTAAAGTTATCATGTGCATGGATTAGTTATAATTTCTTATAGACTTGTTAGGTGGGCAGCATTATTCAAAGCTTCTATCTTCATCACAATTGTGTGACCACAGCTCCCTAAAGTCAATCTTACCCTTGTTGGGTTTTAATCAGTTGGAAAATGTTTTTACACGGTGAAATGAAATTGATATTGCTTTAAGGTATTTTGTGTAGTGGAAAACAATCAGGTGTGTTTTTATGTGGGTGCTCTTTGGCTGTGTGACGGGGGTGGCGTTTAGAAAAGCCCCTTTGCTACAATTAACACATGAATCAGTGTTCGGTTTGCCTGAGATTAATGGACCCATACATTGTATCTGCTTTAAAAATGTTGTGCCAGTAAATCTTTGTAATTTTGTTTATGGGTGAGGGTTTGCACATTGCTTCAAATGCTCGATTTTGGCACTATTATAAATGTGAAAGAATTTGAACTTTAAGTAGCTTTTATAAACTCCTACAGCTTTTTAATCCAAACTACCTTATGTAAAAGTAGCTTGTGATAATTCCAAAAAAGCTTTAGAATTGAGGATTTCTCAAGCATACAATTTAACTTTGCCAGGGAGAAAAAAAGTATTCTCCACCTGCATGTGGAGGTTTGATGTTCATGACTATGTACTTTCAGGGGATTGTGCTATCAAACTGTGCAGGGGTTTGCATTGTTCCATCACATTTCTTTCAACATTTCAAACAGTTATTTTAGTCTCAAAAGACTCAATAGCACTACCTCAGTAAAATGGAATACAAATATTTCAAAATGTCATAGACCAATATTTTATTACTCAATAGAAACAGGTTTTACTATGTCTGTAATAAAAGGGCATTAGTTCATTTTGAAATAGATTTCTTACATTGATGAAGAATCTTTCGAAAAGATGAAAGATTGATCTAATTTAGTTGTTCACCAAAACACCAGTAGATAGCGCCACATATCTAAGAAGTCACCTAGTCCAGCCTCCGTTCTGTTCTACTTACTCCAGTAGGTGGCATAGTGACCTAACACTTCTGCGTGACAGCTGAGAACAAGTACTCCAACTTTTAAACATACCATCAGTCTTAAACGTAGCAAATAATTTGAGGCCTTACGCCTTTATTTTCACCCGTCGGGCCGATATGATACAGACACATTTCTAACTCTGAGCTGTCTGCTGTGACCACACATGCACAAAAGCCTGTCAGACCGCTGAGGTCCTGTCTCAGCCATCCAGCAAATGCATTCTGGCTGCCCATTTAGCTCATTAGCTTTAATAGATCAGTAATTGAAATTCATCAGAAATTCTTGTCAGTGCACTCCCCCTTGATGTCAGTGGGCTTTCAGCACCTGCTCCGGCTCCATTACCCGGGGTCCTCGCTGGGCTCTCTCATACAACACAGTGACAGAGCATTAGTCACTGAGATAATCAACCTCAGTACACTGTTTGCCGCTAATGCGCCTCAAGTACGATTCACATCACGTGCCAATCGGCGTCTTATCACAGAAGAAGTTCTCGGCAAAATGAATGCGATGAATCCTTCACAGATCGCTTTGTTTTTCAGGTGATTGATTACACTTAAGGGCGGCACGGTGGTGTGGTGGTTAGCACTGTTGCCTCCCAGCAAGAGGGTTCTGGGTTCGAATCCCGGGGGAACCAGGACCTTTCTGGGTGGAGTTTGCATGTTCTCCCTGTGTCTGCGTGGGTTCTCTCCGGGTTCTCTGGCTTCCTCCCACAGTCCAAAAACCTGCATGTTAGGTTGATTGGAGATTGGGGAAATTGCCCTTAGGAGTGAATGTGAGTGTGAGTGGTTGTTTGTCCTTGTATGTCCTGTGTGTGGCCCTGCGATGGACTGGCGGACTGTCCAGGGTGTACCCTGCCTCTCGCCCGTTGACCACTGGGATAGGCTCCAGTTCCCCCCGCGACCCCATGAGGGAATAAGCGGTATTGATAATGGATGGATGGATGGATGATTACACTTAAAAGTGCTGAACGGCTGGACATTGTTACATAGCTAGCTGGATATTGTATCCATTTAATTGAATGCCTATTAGCCACCAGCGTCATGACAAGCTACATCTCCCATCAAAGTTTCGTGACTGAATTTCCAGCATATGAACCTCATAGTCTTCAGAGCAGTTGATCTGAAATATTGAATCTATAAATACTCAGTTGGAACTGGAAACTGGTCCTGTGTTGCAGCTGAGGATGAATTCTGACGTGGTTGTGAAAGGTTCCAAATGACAGAAGACTTTCAGGAAAAAAGCTTTTTTTAAGCATCTGGTTGAACCTCTAACCTCTGACTCTTTGATCCTCTCGAGGAATGAGGACATGTGTTCAGTTTGAAGAAATGCTTCCATCTTCTTTCAGTAATCTTTTTCTTCTGATATGAGGCGTGCACTCATATTTATGAGGGATTTCATCTTCAGGTTTGTTGTTAGTGTATGCATTTCTTTAAAATGCAGATAAAACACAATAAATAAAAACAAAGACACATAATTGGGTTACTTTTTTCCCTCTCAGTGCTTCGATTAAATGCACTGAAGATGCTTCACTGCATTTCAAGGTGCCTGGATTTTTTGAGAAAAAAGTAAAATAGTAATTGAAGATTGGTAGTAAAAGCAC